TTATTTAATGTTTATAAGAAGACTATAAATGCTGTAGTTATTATAACATTAGTGGGTAGTAGGGGTTTTGGTGGGGTCTTGGCAAAACTGTCACACGAACCCGTGAGGTATGTTAAGCTAAATAGTTATAGTAGTAATAAGGCTTTAAGGTGCAGAGACAGTGTGTGGTGACTGTTGTTAGAGTGGTGGCTGCTGTGTTATTCATTTGAGATGTAAGAGACGACGTTGTATTCCCCTAGTATTCAGGTAAGAGAAAGGCATAGGTGGAGGGTTAGCATTGTTCTGTTGTTGCAACGAAAATCATTGTTTAGTCTTTGCTTTCACAAGAGCTATATCTCACACACTAAACTCCAGCCTATTCCCTACAAAGTCTCGTGCAAAGAACCTCGTCGGGTACTCAACGCCCTCTGCCCCACTATTCTTCGCACCAGGCTTATCAGCCATTAATGGCGCGCTCTCGTCTTTCCTCTCAAAATGTTCCCATACCCTCGTTTGCAGCTCGTTCAGCGCTTCTACGCTACCAACCCGGAAACAGGGATGGCGTGAGGAGTGGTGAGCAAAGTCCTCAGGCTTGCCGATCGCGACGTGCACTTGCTGGCCTGATGTGCCGATGTCGAACCATGCGAGTGTTTCACGCTGGAGATGGGGTACGGGGCGTGGTGTGAGGCCGAGGGTTTGAGAGTAGAATTCGTTAGCGAGGTGGAGGGTTGAGGGCGGTACCACCAGGTTGATGTGGTGGATGCCTGTTATCATGTTGGGCGAAGGTGCGAGGTGAGTTCGTTGGGTGGTTGATGGTTGTGAGGACTTGGCGCTGCATCATGGGGTGAATGCTGATTGCGGGGTCAAGACGTGGAGGCGGGCACGTGTCCTGCGGGCTATTGGTGATGGCTTATCGGAGACGACGCTGAGCCTGCGCCACACGCAACTTCTCACCTGAAGAACACTCAGCCTTGCATGTTATCGACAAGATGATTGCTTAGATGCAGCATACACTCAGCCTTTTACATCCTCCAAGGCCAAATACGTGGCGTTATGGTTTCATTGGTCCGGCCCGCGTTCCCCGCACAGCAGATCGCCAGTGTTGCCTATATACTTTGATTTCAAGTACAGTCAGACGGTTTTTTACACTCAAACGAAACATTTAGCTATGTCATTCTAGATATCAACGGAAATGCCATCTACCACATTGCCCGACATATGTGACCCCTTTCTCTCGAGTGCAGACCACCTCTATGATGACTACAGCAGCCTGGGGCACACAATTAGGCAGCTTTGTGAGGTGGAGGACTACTCGATCTCGAGACCCCGAGCTTCGGTGGATAGGAACAGCTCGAATTGTGAATTCTGCAAGATAATAGCTTCCAATCCTAGGCTGAAGTCTGGCACACGAGACTTCATCATCCACAACAAGAGTGTTCTTAGTGAGCGTGGTTCTCGCCCAGCCGACAGTATCGACAGACTGACTGTCCAGCGTGAGAGCCGACTGTGTCTTAGATTGCCTGTTTTTACCACTGAAGGCCAGGAATTGTTCCAGTGGGCAATGGGAAGAGGTGATAGGGGCTGATTGTCGACACAGGCAGCGTACCCGCCACCGCCAAACATGTCTCGGGCAGATGCATCAAGGCCGCTTCGAATCTTGATCAAGCAAGGCATTGGTTGAACGACTGCCTTCGCAACCATGACCACGATTCTAGCACAGCTGCTACCCATCTGTCTAGGCTGCTGGCAGCAGGTACTACAGATGGGTCGGAGCAGATCATAATTGTGGGCGACTCAAATTCCGATGCCAGATATCTAGCAGTCAGCTATCGTTGGGGCCAGCTAGTTGCGGGGTAAGAAGGTCGACTTCAGTCGGAACACACAACCAAGAACAGTCCGATCCCAACACAGTATATTAGTATCGACCTAATTTGCCACGTCCAATAGATAATATATGTGATGAGGTGGAGTTTACATCTTATAAAACTCTGCTACGTGGGCTGACCTCATCATTTCTTCGTTTACTACCTTGGCTTCCTTGGGCCAACTGCATAATAATCTGCGCAGGCATGTTGTTCCTGTAAATTTTGGCGAGGCAGTGCATTAGCCTGAAACAATATGCAGATATTAGGAGATCTACGTTACTTAGAGACTTTGGCTCTTATGGTTAACGAGGACGATCCCCGCTCCCCAGCCGGAGCCGGCACAAGTGGGGTGATGCTGCAACAAGTCACCGCAAGCGTCTTGTCATCTACGACTAGGACGGCAAGGTGATGCAGACTAACAACAGCCCACGTCGCTTCTTCGAAGACCCTTCCCTCAATAAAGTCGGAAATCCTTACTACCTCTAGCATTCAACAGGCACCTCGCACACAATTAAAATTATAGTTAGCTAAGCTAGATAGTCTGTTTTACCAGAAGAACAAGCTATTACAGCTAGTTAAAGGATAGACTACTCACAAGTCGATTGTTAAATTTAAGGATGGATGGCTTCTATGATATGTTGACTCTTCGCTTATGGGCGTCGATGATTTGCGCAGCACAAAGGTTAGGGAGCTTTTGTTCCAGAACAGCGCGTTTGAGCTTGCTCAGCCGCAACCAGTTGTGACCCCATAAGCTAGATCTGTAGCACTAGAGGCGTTAGATGCAAGACCTGTTTCGAGTGCATACAAAGAGATAGACTTTAGTTCTTAACCCCGCTGAATACCTAACCACTCAACAGCGCTTTCCCTTACTACCAAGACTTTGCAGTCCTCAAAAACCAAAATCTCCATACGCGCCCTTGTATCTCGCATCCAAACAGCGTTTCGGGGAAAAGCCTCTTTTAACAATTCGTAGATAGTGTGAAAATTACATCGTTGTATGTTATTTTGCTCCACCCCCGCTTTCCCCGCCCTTAGTTAGCCAGCCCTTGCACAGCGGGGTTGTGTAGGGAGAAGAAGCAGCCTGCAGTAGCCTTATAAAATATTGTTCCGAGTTTTGTGGTATGTATCTCAGCAGCAATATATGTACTCGCCGAATAGCGGTAGTAGCCGTTTCGGCTCGGCCGCCGGGCGTAAATAAATTGTGTGTGTGTGTGTGTATCAAGGCAACTTGGTTTAGAACAAGAGAGAAACATTCTCCTGATCACCTTTTACACCAATACCTCAGCACAATGTTCCAAAGAAGGAACTCCGTCTTGGATGGACGAAATCTGGTACGACTAGCATCCCCGGACTTCATTCCAGAATAGATGCTGCCTTGAGTGGCCGGTACTCTAATTGCTAACCTCTTGGAATACTTTGATAATGAACCTTGAACAAAGAGATTCTCTAGATATAACGAGGATCTCAAATATTAATAGAGCCCTGAGCACCTCATGAATTCATGTCAATCTGCAGATCATCTCCTCAGCTCTTCACGAAGCTTTTAACTAACGAAGCATATTTTTACATTCTCTACTGTCAAGATGCGTTTCACCAACACTCTTACTGCGGTCCTCGGTATTAACTCAATGGCTACTGCTGGCTTCGTCAAGGCTGATTTTTATATCAGCAACGTCGCTGGTACCCAACTTGAGCGCCTGAACAGCTACAGAAACCAGCACCAGCTGACTCCGGAACAAGACAAAGTTCTTGACCAGGCAGCGGAGATTGTCCGCACGGCCGACCATTCTCAGATTGGTATTATCCGCGCTGCTACCGAGGCCGCCTTTGGTAATGCTGAAGCCGCATACATCCTCACCGGCAAGCACCGGGGCAGCGAGAATACTTTTGCCGAGAAACGGGCCCTGCTCCGCCGTGTAACAGACTGCAACTGCTCGACCGACGACAACTACTGCAATGACAGCCAGTACTGCGCCTACAACTATGGCAACTGTAACTTCAAGCCTGGGTGCGGTACTCTTTGGCTTGAGGTATGTGATGGCAGGTGCGTCAAGAAGTGATGCGAGTCCTGTTTAGTAATCGAAAAAATTTTGGAACACAAAAGAGGGCTATCTCATCTGTTGCTGGCTAGTTTTATCAATTCGCTTTTATAGTTATTATATCTGTGGTGACATGTTATCAAACCTCTCTATCATTTCCTTACGTATTCAGTTATGTGAGGCATTCCTACAGAGGTATGTTCCAAAAGTCCTTGCCAGTGTATCATTAACGACTGGTCTATCGGTCCAACTGTTTTAGCATCCACACCGACTTTTTGATGCTGGTGTTGATGCTGGTGATGGTCTATATACTCAATCTTTTGGTGTTTTCAACTATACTATGGCTCCCAACACTGATTCCTATATCCGTGCGCTCATTGTGACGCTGAAGTCACCCTCGGGTGGCAAAAATACTGCCCAGATCAGCACTATCACAGGTATTTCACCACGTACTATTGACGCAATCTATGGTAGAGCATGCCAGCGTAGCTTCGAGCCCAATTTACCTACGATCAAGCTCCTCCTAGAGCACCTCGAAGATGCCTCTCGTACTAGGCTCCCGCGTAAGCAAGAAGCTATCCACGAAGCTGCTATCAAGAAAGTACGCCGCGACTAATGTTGACGGGAGAAGAGCTACGCTAATATAATCTACCATATAGTCAATACATAGAAAAAGTAAAGCTCTAAAACTAACCACATGTTTATTCTTATTTTAAATCTTCATTTATCATTCAAAATCTTATTCTACTAACGTAAAGCACCACCGAGCCGGACACACCACCGAGCCGGACACTTTTTCTTGGCATCGCGAACATCACTTGCAAAGTAATATGTCCTAACCACGTGAAGAGATATTAACTCAGAGAGAAGGTAGAATTAC